TCAGTTGCAGCCTGAGCCACAGGGCGACCTGAGGGACAGAGGGGACAGGGTGAGCTGACAGAGGGGACAGGGTGAGCCGAGGGATGGAGGGGACAGGGTGAGCTGACAGAGCAGACAGGGTGAGCCGAAGGATGGAGGGGACAGGGAGAGCTAAGGCAGCTGTGGTATCTGTGTGGTCCCAGGAGTCAGGCCCCAGGCAGAGGCCAGAGGAGCTAGAGTGGGTGGGAGGTGAAGGTGGGAAGTGGGGCTCAGCCTAGCACCCCTGCCCTTGCCCCCATGGTGCTGAGGCACTGGGCTGGGAAGGGGCATTGGGGACTCTCCCTTCTTGGAGGTGAGTGGGCAAGGCCGGGAGGGTCACAGGGCCTGGCGGTGACTCTGGATGTGGCCGTGTAACAGGAAGGAAACCCAAAGCAAGGATCGCACCGACGTCTCCTCAGGAGACCCCCGTCCTTCTGGTCAGTAACGAGAAGGGACATGGATGCAGCTATGGGGCGAGCAACACAGGCTGGTGGGAGACCCTGTGGCGGGGGGGAAGGAACCCCTCAGCCCCTCAGAGCCTCTAGACAGGCCACGACAAGTGAGTCAGGCTGAGGAGCAGGCAGCTGAGGGAGGCAGGTCGGGGCGCATGGCGGGAACAGACCTGGGGCTGGGCTGGACATGGAGAGGTGCACCAGTGTCACCCAGGCCACCTCTCCCAGAGAGACGGCACAGAGCAGGCACTCAGTCTGGACAGGGGCTCGGCACCTATGCCAGCCTCTTCAGACCGAGGACCCCATGCCCCACAGCCCAGCCGGGCGACCACAGCGAGCAGCAGCAGGACGGAGCCCTTCTCTTCTGGCGACAATGGCACAGTGCCCCTCGCCACGCACCTCACATCTCCGCCCTCAGGACCCAGGTAACTTTCCTTAAGTGTTTGTACACCCCCAGGGAGAGCAGAGAATGGCCTCAGGGTTCTCTGTGGGTGTGTGCTTGAGAGTGGGGTCGACTGTGGGAGGCTTATGTATGTGTGCCCGTGTGTGGTGTGTGAGGGTCTGGTAGGTGTGGGGTGTGTGTGTGTAGTGTATGAGTGTTTGGCATGTGCAGTGTGTCTGTGTGGTATGTGGTAAGATGTCTGTGGTGTGGTGTGTGCTGTGTGTGTGGTGTGTGAGGCATCTGTATGTGTGTATGTAAGGTATGGTGTATGACGTATGTGATCTGTGTGGTTTGTTGAGGTGTATGTGTGTGGAGGGCGTGGTGTATGTGGTGTGTGATAGCAAGGCATTTGCGTGTGTGTAAGGTATGTATGGTGGTTTGCGAGGTATATGTGTGTGGAGGGTGTAGTGTATGTAGTGTGCGTGGTGGTGAAGCATCTGTGTGTGTGTGCAAGATGTGGTGTGTGAGGGGTGTGTGATGTGTGCATTGTGTATGGTTTGTGAGGTGGAGGGTGTGGCATATGTGGTGTGTGGTAGTGAGGCATCTTCACACACACGTGTGTATGTGTGTGTGTGTGTGTGTGTGTGTGTAAGGTGTGGTATGTGAGTGTGTGTGGAGGGAAAGCCTGAGGGGAGAACCAGGAGGGAAGTGTCCACACACAGAGCAATCCCAGTACGATGTGATGGGGTCCGTGGACATGGTCACTGCCAGCTGTCCTGGGGTGGGGTGCTAGTCCTCCTCAGCAGCTCACACTTCCCCAGCATCTTGGGAAAGGGGTCAGGGAGCAGATTTCTGGTGGCCCCCCACCCCAATCCTGACCTTTTGCCCAGGTGTCTAGAAGCCCAGGATGCTGGGCCCGCCCTCCTTCACAGCGCCCAGCTCCCATGACCACTGAGCACCGTTCCAGCCCAGGTGGACAGAAGCCAGCTGCTTCCCTGGAACCCCACGCTATCCCCCTGCCCTGCCCAGCCCCCCCGTGCTCGGGGAAGGTGAGTGGGGAGGTGATATGTCAGAGCACAGATACTCAGAGGGCCAGGCCTCTAATCAACCATCCGGCTGGGGAGAGGTGAGCTGGGCATGCACACAGACTCCAGCTCTGGGAGGGGGATGTGGGCCCAGGCTGGCCTCTGTCCACATGCCCATTAGCTGCTCATAGGGCCAGTATCCTAAGAAGGGGACGAAAGCCGGGGATGTGGCAAATGGGAGACAGTCTGCTTGCTTGGGTGAGGCCCTGGGCTGGACTCCAGGTACTGCTGGGAAAAGAAAAGGAAAGATGAGGAAAAGGAAGGGGAGCCCTGCACGGCCCTTTGAGGACCCAGGAGGGGGCTGCAGCCAGGAGCATTCCCGCCTACGCTCCCCTCCCCAGAAAGAACTGGAGGGGATAGTGCCTGGGGTGGCCTTCCCAGCCCCTGGACCAGGAGAATCAGTCTCAGCTGTTGACGCACTCTGTCAGCTGTGTTTGGGTGTATGCCGGCCACATGGGCTAACCCAGGGCATGTCACTGACCCTCGGCAGGGCGTTCCCATCATCTGTATCACCTGGGCAGTTGGAACAGTCCAGACCACGAAGGGGATTCATAGCAATAATGGACTGTGTTGATGGACCCGAGTCAGCCCCCACTAACTCCACCACTAACCCGTCTCTTGCTCTCACTCTCTGCACACTCCCCCATGCCCCCAGGTACACCCACTGCTTGCCGGACAGCGGGGGCCAGGATGGAGCTCAGGACGCGCTTTCCCCCTGAGCCTCGTGCCCGGCGTGAGCATGAGGAGCTGGCCTCTCTCATTCACGGTTACCCCTCCGCTCACAGGGCCTGCGTACAGAGACCCTCCAATCTTCACGTGACGGTGACGGACAAGTGGATGGCACTGTCCTTTCAGGAACGGACGACGCCCCTTCCAAAGACTCATCCTGCAGACTGGGCCCCCCACAATGACCCTCCCCCTCGAACAAGGCCTCTCTGATGCTCTAAGCTGCCCCAGCTCACCCCCTAAGCCAAGTCCCAGTCCTCAGCTGCAGCACAGGGAGCGATTAGCAGGATTTGTAAGCGGCAACACCCTCTAGCAGCGACAGTGGGAGGGGCTGGAAGAACAGCTCCAGCTCCCCCCTCCAGCTAAAGTCCTCCAGAGGTGAGGCTCTCTGTGGAAAAGGTCCCAGACATCCCCCAGGAAAGAGGAATTCGACGCCAAGTGGTTTTCTGGACCCTCCAGCCCAAACACTCACAGCACCCGAAGAGCAGAGGGGCAGAAGCAGCTGATGGGCACTGGGCCCATCCTCCCAAGCAGAAATCAAAACACAGCCACGCCTGGCCAGGGGCTGGGCATCCCTAGGCCTTGGCCCTCTCCTTGTGCTGACCACCCATCAGGGCCATAGAAGAGCTTCCCAAGTGCCTCCCTCCCTCCCCCACCCCCCAACCACTCCACTGTGACTCCACATCCTCGGCCCCATTTGTCTCCCACAACAGAGGAAGGGGGCTCAAAGCCTTAGCTGGAATCTAACTAATGCCTTTGTCCCTTGGCATCTTGGTTCTCTCATCCAGGTTTTAAATGGCATTGGAAATTCCACTGTGCAGACTGCCAGTGGCCTCGTGGGGCCTCGTCTGTGCAAGTTTACCTCTCTGACATCAGTTTTAGTCCTCGATTCTCACTACCCCCCGCCCCATCTCCATTTCTCCCCAGGACTTACTATTTCCCAAAATCTTCTTACTTCCTTGATCATTACTTATTTTTTTGGGGGGGAGGGGAGTGTTCCCCATCCAATGCAGTCCCCAGAAAGAAGCGTTTTTCTCTATCTTTTTTTTTTATTGAATCATCGTGAGATAGGTTTTTCTCTGTCTTACTGAACATAGTAACCCCAGGCTTACAGCAGGGCTGACAGAGGAAGTCACTTAAAGGTGGGCTCCAGGGGACAAGAATATACACAAAAGGGAGAAATACAGGTATGGGCTCTGTTTAGGGCCGGAAAAGGAAGACCCATGATGCTAAATAATCCTGAGAATTAGAAGGCACACTCTTCTTTGGCCTTCCAAGGAGAACAAAGGCAACAGAAATTCCAGGGGGAAATAAGTTAATTAAAAAGGTCCTGGACTCAGTATGAAACAATTTACTAAGTGGCACAATTTAGAACCATCAGTATAAGGAGAAAGTCCATTTGACCTTGTTGTAAATTCTTCCCTCCCTTCCCTTCTTCCCTCACTCCTTCCCTCCTGCCCAGAGCTCCAGCCTCGGCCCCGCCACAAAGATCCTTCCAGGTTGAGTGGCCAGGGGTGAGAAGAGCAGAGCCACAGAACAGGAAGTCCAGTTCTAGCGTGCCATTTGGCCCTGTGGAGATCATACCTAAGGCCATCTAGTAACACTTACTGATTACTTACCACGCCAGACAAGGTCTCAGAACTTGCAGATACTAGGGGATACTCACAACTCCCTAAAGCACAGGTCATCATTCTCCCTATTCTACAGATGTGGGAAATAAAATTTGGTGGGGGTTGGGGGGTGGGGTTTTATTGGGGTTCTTCATGGTAAAAAATAAGTATTGGTAAAGGGAAATGTGTTTGATATTTGCATGACTGAGACCTAAACCTGAAAGCTTTGTAGCCTTTCCCACAGTGATTCAATAAATAAAAAAAATAAAAAAATTTAAAAAATAAAATAAAATAAAATTTGGTGGGTTAAACACGCAGCTAGTGGAAGAGCCGGCTGAATTCGCGCCCAGGCCGGGGAGACGCAACGCTCCCCAGAAGCCAGCAGCTGGTCCTCCTGATTCATCTGACTGCCACGAGCCAATCCTTCTTTTTCTTTTTTTTTTCCTGCTTTTTGGGTCACACCCAGCAGTGCACAGGGGTTACTCCTGGCTCTGCGCTCAGGAGTTACTCCTGGTGGTGCTCAGGGGACCATATGGGATGCTGGGAATCGAACCCGGGTCAGCCGCATACAAGGCAAACGCCCAACCCGCTGTGCTATCACTCTAGCCCAGGAGCCGATCCTTCTTGCCCAGAAGTGTCGGCTACCACACGCACACATTCGAGCAGGCACAGAGCCACAGACACACAAAGAGCCCGGGGGCTGGTCCAGGCTAGAGCGGGGTCTTACCTTCCTGCAGTCTCTGCAGAACACGGACGCGCTGCCCAGGAGGCCCAGCGCTTCCCCACAGAGCAGGCACTGGGACTGGCCATCCCCCATCGCATTGCGCCGCATGGTCTCCAGCCGTTCCACCAGCCGCCTGCACCACAGGAGCCAGGGTCAGATGAGACAGGCAGAAGGACAGACAGAGTTCCCAGGCTCCAAGGGGCACCTCCCAGACAAAGCTGCCATGGGCCGCGTGCTCCTCCTCCCTCTGGCTAACTGCTAACCATTCGTCCACACACCCATTATTCATTGAGCATCGCTGAGGAGCCTGACCCTGGAAACAGAACAAGCCAGCCAGACAGACAGACATGGCTCCTATCTTGGGGAACTGACATCCAAGGAAGGCAGAAAGTCCCCAAACAAGCAAACGCGTGGACTGGAGAGATACACAGGGGTTAAGGCACTTGCCTTGTATATGGCCTATCGGGGTTTGATCCCTGGTGACCACAAATGTGCCCACGCACCCTGGTCACACAGCCTGGGAGTGATCCCTGAGTGCAGAGTCAGGAGTATGCCCTGAGAGCAGCCAAGTGTGACCCCCAAACCAAGCCAACCAAACAAAACAATTGAACATGCAAACTGTGGGAAGAGAAATCGGTGGGAGTGGGGTGGGCTGGAGGGGGACAGCCCCGGGTCTGGGGAGGGAGGGATCGGTGAAGATGGGGGCTGGTGCAGGCCCCTCTGAGCTGCTCTGATGACAAGCACCGACCTGTAGCGCTCGGGCTGGGCTGGCCAGGGCAGGGAGATCGCCTCTGAGCCTGTGGACGCCCCGGAGGAAATGAGGTGTGAGGGGCCCAGAGGGGCCACTTCCAGGGGGGGTTTCAGGTCACAAAATAGAATGTGGCTTACTTTCTACAGTTACAGTGAAGCCACTGAAGAGTTTTCGGGAGAAGAGAGATTTGATCCCGAATGACAGTCTCCAAAGCTCCTTCTAGCTGCTTAGGAAGCCGGGATCACAGGGCAAATAGAGGTGAGAGTGGGGAGTGAGGCGGGGGTCCGGGGAGAAGGACAGAGAGGCCGTGGGGGAATTTCAGAGGAGCATCACGGATCTGGAGTAAGCAAGGGGAGATTAGAGAGAGCAAGAGCAAGCAAGGTGGACAAGTTTTTGGTTGAAGCAACTGGGCGTCTGGAGAAGCTGGGGGCAGAAGGAGAAAGAGCCCCACTTCTTGGAGAGACTAGGGCTCGGTGCTTCACAGCCCACTGCGACCCCCATTTCACCAGCAACCTGCAGTTGATCCCGCCCCTGCACCTACTGGCTGGCTGCTGGGCTCCCCTCCTCGCCAGGCCCAGGACTGCCCGGTGAACACAGGCAAATGGATGGCCGTGTGGACACAGGGTCTCGCGCAGAGGACATGAGCTTCCGCATTACTTTAAAAGTGATTTGGGAGGAGGGGGTCTCCAGGCAGAGCTCAGTGGGGCCTAAGGGGCTACTCTTGCTGATACTAGGCTAGCGGGTCCATAGGGCCCACTGCCTGGGCCCAGCCACACGGTGCTGCTCGGCTGCCAGTGCTCAGGGGCTTCCAGGACTACACCTGAAGGGGCCAGCACTGACTTTGGGTGCACACCTCCATTCCCCCCACCCCGGCCCCCCGCAGCCCAGGACTACACAGGAGCCACTAGCCCCAACAACAGAAGCGAGCTGAGACATGAAAGGATGGGGGCACAGACATGAAGGGATGGGGGCTCAGGCAGAGCCAGCTGCCCTGGGAGCCTGGGAGCCTGTGGTCGGTTCCCAGGGGCGGGACTGGGCCTGGGCCTGGGGGCCGACCCTCACCCAATCCTCTGCTGCTCCAGCACGTCCTGCCGCTCCGCCCGCTGAATCACCGCCAGGATGACCTCCACCTCCGCTGGGCTCAGGCGCTGGCTCTTCCTCTGCTTCTCTGACTGGTAGGTGTGCACGGACCAGCCGGCCTGCAGCCTGGACACAGAACAGCAACCTGTCTGCACCACCCCTATCCCACAGGTCCATGCAATCAGGGCATCAGGGGACAGAGCAGGCACTGTGTGCTGGGGGGCTGGGGTGCGGGGACGGGAGGAGGCAGGCTCCATGTCCAGGGGTGGGGGCGGGGGGCCCAGCTCAGCCCATGGGCCGTGGGAGCCTAAGGCGCGCTCATTAAAAATGATCAGAATCGTAGAAGAGAGTGAGGAGGCTCCGCCTGGAGACCCAAAAGTGATTGACATGGGATTTGGAAAACTTGAGGATTCAAGTGGGGGGAAGGTGAGGGAGGCTGCAGCGGGGCAAGTGGGTACCGGGCTGGGGGCTGCGCAGGAAGGTCACGGCCTTCCCAGGCTGCAGCCAGGGACGGAGTGTAGAGACTCCCACCCCTTCTCCTTCTCCGGATGGGGAGACAGCGGCAGGGGCACCCAGACCCCGACTCTCCATGCTGGACTTCAATGCTGGAAACATTCTGTGCTCATAGTCGGACATGGACCAGGAGGCAGTCGCAGCCTTGAAGAATGACAGTGTGACAGGAAGCCCGAGTTCAGGAAGTGACACCTGAGAGCCCACACTGCAGGCTCAGTGCACCCCCAGCTCCAGCAGGGGTTGGAGGAGCGGTGGGCGTGGCCACCTGCACCGAGGGGTGTGGCCTCTTCGGGGGCGGGGCTCTGGCAGGCAGGATGCAGATGGGGAGAGGAGTGGTCCCCTTCTGGGGTTCCCCCAACCAGATGAACCCTGTGCCCCCCTCGGACTGCCCTTCCAGGCTGGTGCGCCCATACTTCATGCGTGATCCACAGTCTCAGCATGAGAGTTACTGGGGCAGTTTTGCCCTAAGCTCTTTGTGCGTTATAAACACTTTTGCCTCATAACTCATAATTTGACTCTATGAGTTATGCTTGGTAACAAGAATTTTTTTTAATTACAAAAAATGAAAGAGGGGCTGGAGCGATAGCACAGCGGGTAGGGCGTTTGCCTTGCACGCAGCCAACATGGCCAACACAGGTTCGATTCCCAGCACCCCATATGGTCCCCCGAGCACCGCCAGGAGTGTTCCTGAGTGCATGAGCCAGGAGTAACCTCTGAGCATTGTTGGGTGTGACCCAAAAATCAAAAAAAAAAAAAAAAGAAAGAGGGATCTTATAGGCCACACCCAGCCGTGTTGGGGTGGGGCTGGAACCATACCCTAGCCAGAACCCGAGCTGGTTGAGTATGAGGCAAGTACCCTTGCCCCTATTAACTCTCTGGCCCTGAGGGATCTCCATTTTCTGGTTTGTTTTTGTCTTTGGACCACACCCTGCAATACTGAGGGGTTATTCCTGGTCGTAGTTGGGGAATGATATGGGATGCCAGAGATCAATCTGGGTTGGCCATGTGCTAGGCAAACCCCTACCCACTATACTCTCTCCAGCCTCAGAGATCTTAATTTAAAAGAATGTAAAGACAAAACCTGGACTCCATTTTTTTTCATTTAAAAAGATAGTTAATTCCAGACAAAATGGGTTGCATGCTGTGCAAGGCAAGCACCCTACCCACTGTACCATCTCTCTGGCCCCCTCATGTGGCTTTCTAATAGCCAGAGCCCAGAAAGCAACTGCCTGGCTGCTGCCAACTGACCACTGGGCTGTCCCCTGGCATCCTCCCTCAAACCACCCCCCACAAAACCCTGCCAACCTGCACTTCCTCGTCCAATGTCCTCCCGGGCCCACGATCCCATCTGGGCAGGTCCATGTGGCCATGAGCCTCCTGAGCCCTACCAAGCCCCTTGGGGCACAGGAGGCCATCCAAGGTCTCTCAGGATAGACAGTGCCTCACACCCGAGGGTGGGGGGGAACCATACTGGCTCCTCGAGCCCACCTGCACCAATGGCAGGGATTGACACCCTCATCTCTCCATCACCTGGCGTGGCCTCACCCAGCCTCCCCAGCTGCCAGTGTGGGGCTGTGTGTGTGGTTCCAGGCCTGGTTGACGCTGGACACTCCCTGGGGCACCTTAGACCCCTTCCCACCCACTCGCAACCGGAGGCCTTTCCTACACCCCCTCCGAGAAGAAGAGGCCGTTCTCAGGGCCCCCAGGGCAGGGCAGCACCTCATCACTGAGTACAGCACAATGTTCAGGCCAGGTAGGACCCTCTGGCTCCCACCCTAACACAAGCCCTGCCTGCCCCATGGCACAGTCTTCCTCTCACACTCGTGCCCTCACTGTGTGTGCGCCACCCTGCACGCCCACCCCCACTGCTGCCAGGCCTCTCCACAGTGGGTCTCCTACCTCGAGGCCTTTGCACTTGCCTTTCCTTCTGCTCAGAAGCTCTTCCTTGCACTCCCAATCCCATGTTTGCACCCCCTCCGGCACATGGCATTAGCTTCCCCCTGCCTGGAAGCCCCTCCCGACCCCCAGGCCAGTGAGCACCCTGCACTGCACCCTGCTGCTGGAGTGATTACTCGTGGCCTGTGGGTGATGATGATGTGTGGCGGGGGGCCTCGCCCCGCCCCATCAGTGTCTGCCACACGGCAGGGAGCCCGGGAACCCTGCAGGGCGCCAGCAGCCAGCAGCCCCAAGGAAAGGAAGGGGCCTCTGACACAACCGCCCCCTGTGGGATTTGCGGCACTCCCTGTCAGGGAGCCCAGAGACCCACAGAGCCTGGCGTTCCGGGGCAACACACCACGGAGAAGATCAAAGTGTCTGTTCTTCCCCAAGGAGCCAGAACAGCTCTGGCTGCGCACAGACAAGGTCAGAGGAAACACGCTGCTGGGGGCAGCAGGGGTCCCAGCAGCCTGGTGGGGAGCACGAAGCCCCCGCCGGCCTGCACTAGCCGGAGGAGGGAGAGAGGGAGAGCCCGCACCCCGCTTCCCGGCAGGTCTGAGTCCAGAGAGAGAGACACACACACGTTAGCTGCTGCTCAGACACCGGCGGCCACACGTGACGCTGCACAGCCTGGCCCTTTTGAATTCATTTTCTGATTCCCCTTTGATGTTCCAGCTCTGTCCCCTGTGGGCTCATAACATCTAATTGCCAATTTCTTGAACTTGGTCCCACTTGGGAAATGCTGGCTCTTGTAATTAGCGTGGTTTAACAATGAAGGGGCCCAGCTGGGCTCAGCCGAGGCCAGGGACCACCCCCCCAGCCCCCTCTCCCCACCCACCCACGCACACACACTCCCCCTGGGAAGCGGACAAGGAAGACAGCAGAGGCAGTTGGGAACCCCAGGTCGTCAAATCAGGGGGTGGACAGCCTGAGCTGACTGGAACCAAGGTCGCCACAGGCTGTGCCCATGGGGCCGTGGGGAAGCAGAGAGGCCTTGCCAGGAGCCAGCAGAGGGCTGGGCACCTTGGGGAGTTGCGCTTCACCCTGGGGGGAGGGGAGGACGCTCCTTCTGCAGCCAACAGGACTTACAGCTCAGGTCTGTCTGCCTGCGCCAGCTCTGAAGTGGCAGCAGACATCAAAGGCTCCCCTCAGACCTGGGACAGGCTGCCAGCTCCAGCTCTGCACAGGGAGGCAGAGCACCAGGGCTCCCGGCACCCGCGGGACTGGCCGTGGAGGTAAGGTGACCAGTGCGTCTGCACCACCACTCACGAGGAGAGAGAGGGGTTTCACTGTCAGCGTGCCCCGCGTGGAACTAAAGGAAGAAACTGCCCTTCCGTGGTCAGCTCCAGAATGGGCGCGGTGGGCATTTGCCTCTGACTGTCTCCTCCAAGGTCCTTGGGAACTTTGTTCAAGACAAGCATGCACGGTACGGGTGAGGCGGGGTACTCACTTGGCTCGCAGGGCCAGCTGCCGGTCGTTCGGGCAAACCCACTGGTCACTGCCACTGCCGAAGATGGTGTCAGCCATGGCTCAGGGGGCCCAGCCAGGCGGGGAGTCACATCTGACAGGAGAGAGGGGAAAAGTGAGAGCACATCATTGGCTGCAGTGTGGGTGGAACTGACCCGGCCCATTCCAGCCCATCCCCATGAGAGGCCTCTGGCACCTCCGCCCTCAGACTAATTCCTCCAGTGCCATTCGGGATAAGAGCAGAGACTGTGACTGGGTGACAGGATTGGTGACACCAAAGGTCCGGCACCCAGCTGTTTCACTCAGGGCACCCCAGAGAGGGGCGGGTGAGAGCTTCCCCCACAAGGGACCCAGCCCCGGCTGCTGAAAACCTCCAGAACCCAACTGCTGCCATGCTCAAGGCTGCTTCCCACACACTCAGGCCGAGCCTCACACATGAGTGAACATATTCCTGGACTTGCAGTCGCAAATGCAGCCACACAACACATCATAAGACACTCCCTAACCATTCTCCACAAGTACCACGCCACACTTGATGGGGTTCAGATAGTAGGCAACAACTCATGAGGGATATGTATGCATATATACATATTTTCACATATATATATACAAAAGCTCACATCATTCAACCTTTAACAACATGTTAGCGATGTCCTAAAGAATGTCTTAATCTCCCCTGCCAACATAGAACAATCTTTACACTGTTTCCTATATGAATACTTTTTTGTAAGCATTTTCTGTGGTTCTTCATAACAAAATATATATTACGAAATATATATTATTTCGATTGTGCTTTGGGACAGGAATTGGGGCTTGGGATGAAACATCCCAAATTTGGTGGTGGGAAGGTGTAATGGAGGTGGGATTGGTGTTTGAATATTAAATGTAATCAAATATTGTGAATTACCTTATAAAAATTTTTTAAAGCTTAAAAAAAAAAAAGGCTGGCGCCAGCGAGCACCCAAGTGACACACCTCGGCCACGTCCAGAGCAGCTGTGAAGGGACCAGGCCTGCCGTCCAGCTCAGCCCTGCAGTGTGGGAGGGCCAGACTAGGAGGGGACACATGGCTAGCTGGCCCAGACATGTCCTGCACAAGGGGGACCCCAGCTGATGCCAGGTACAGGAATGTGGCCGAACCCAACTCCCTAATGGGCTCAGTCGCCCCAGAATGCCTCAGTCACCAGCACAGCAGCAGGGCCTGTCCCCAGAGTCAGGACCTGCTGTCCAGCTGCAGGGACCTGCCCACAGGGACTCCAGAGACCCTGCGGACCCCGCAGGAGCCAGGCCTGCTCCCGACTCCAGGTACATCCACTTGCGTGGTCTGTCCGGGCTTGTTTTCTCTCTGCCACCAAGGACGGGACCCACTCTTTGTCCACCTGGTCTAAGGATAGAGCTCATTCACTCCGGAAAGAGATGGAGAAAGGGGAGAAAGAGAGTATGGGCACATGTGAGGGGGAGAAGAGACAAGTCTGAGGAGCTCTCAGTCTGAGAGGAGAAATACAAGGGGCTATGCTGGGCTGTCTGCACTCCCATGCTCGCGGACCATCTACATCAGTGGCTCACACATAAATCCCTTTACACTCTTAAAGATCACCGAGGATGGGGGCCTAGAGAGCTCAGCGGGAGGACACATTTTGCATGCAGGAAGGCAGGTTTGATCCCTGGCAGGGGATAGTGCTCTGGGGAACACCAGGAGCGACCCTCTCCCCCCCCCCCATATAGCACCAAGCACACAGTTGAACCAAGAGTGGCCCCCAAGCCAACAAACCAAACCACTGAAGTCGGGATACAGCCTGGCATCTCTTTTTTTTTTTTTTTTTTTTGCTTTTTGGGTCACACCCAGCAATGCTCAGGACTAACCCCTGGCTCTGCACTCAGGAATCACTCCTGGTAGTGTTCAAGAAACCATACGGGATGCTGGGGATCGAACCTGGGTCAGCCACGTGCTTGCTGTACTATCACTCCGCCCCCTCTGGCATCTCTTAAACTGTTTCACACTACCATATGACCTAAAAAATACTTTTAATTCAATACCAAGAACCAAAAACATACATCTGCACAAAACTTACAGAGAACTGTTTACACAGCATTATTCATCACAGCCCCAGAGTGGGTATGCCAAGAATGTCCATCAACTGGTGAGCAAACATGAGGGAAAGATGATTTCGAGGGAAGGAAACACACTCCAACATGGGAAGATGCTAATGGCGCCAGTCACAAGACCACATGGGGGACAGTGCTGTTCAGATGAGCTATCCAGGGAGGAAGGAGAGGAGCAGTCCCTCTGGGAGGAGGACTGGGCAAAGACAGGTACTGGATTCAGGGTGCCCCTCTGGGGCAACAATAGTGAGCAAGGCAAGGTTCATACCACACAACTATGTGAGTATACTGAAGCCTCAAAATTGTTCGTTAGGTTTTTGGGGCTTTGGGGGCGGGTTAAGAAGGTTGGGGCCAGGGCTGGAGCGATAGCACAGTGGGTAGGGTATTTGCCTTGCATGCAGCCAACCCAGGTTCAATTCCCAGCATCCCATATGGTACCCTGAGCACCACCAGGAGTAACTCCTAAGTGCAAAGCCAGGAGTACACCCTGTGCATCTCCAGACATAACCCCCACAAAAAAAAGGTTGGGGTCACAACACAGTGGCTCTGTATTCAGGGATTGTTCCTGGCAGCACTCAGGGGATTATATGCAGAGATGTGGATTTGAACCAGGGTCAGCTGCATGCAAGGCAAGCCTCTTGTCCACTGTATTATCATTTGGTACCTAAAACTACTCACTGGCACCCTTGAGAAGTCTGAGTTGTGCAGTATGTGCACTGCATCTCATTAGGTGGTTACAGAAAAATTTGGGAAGGGCTGGGGATGTGACTCAGCAATAGAGCACAGAGTCCGCATGTGTGAGGCTCTGGGTTTGACCCTTGGCACAGCCAAGGAATAAAGTAATAAAAGATAAAGCAATAAATAAAATAATTTATAAAGGGCTGGAGCATTCTGATCATAGGGGCATAGTTATTGATATTAAAAATTGAAATTGAGGAAAAAATTAATTCATTGGAAAGTAACCAGCCCATTAGAAGGTCACATATTTTAGCAAAACACAACTGCCTTTTCAATACAAAAATCAGAAAATTATCATTTTACATGCTTATGTAACATCATTTGGTTTAATGAGAGACTGCCAGATCCTCTGACAGTCTCTCCCGGCTTCTGTGGCTTGTGACTTGTTAAATTGTGTGGATCTCAGGGCTCTCAGGGAGAGAATTACTGTGGGAGAGGAAGTCCTGTGAGCCTCTCCGCGATCTCAGTGTTCGTCCCTCACACTGCTTCCAAAGGCTGAGAGAAGGTAGCTTCCTAAAGATGAATTCCAGTGTGGTCCCTGCAGCCGCATCGATGACCTTTACATTTTCCATTTGTGAGAAAATGACACATCGGCCTTATTGTGATGATAAAAATAGTTTTGATCTGTGGCGGGCCGTGAGAGGCAGCAGGGCCCCTCCACGCCACACTGAGCTCCGCTCTGAGCCTGCAGGGGACAGTCTGCAGCTCCCTCACCACCCCGGGGACCAAGCCCTGGACCTTGACCCACTGGGAACATCCAGGCCCCTACTCGGTGGCTGAGCATTGTGGGCAGCCTGGGAAAGAAACCTGGGCAGCCACAGCTGGAGACCCCAGGGGCAGCCAAGGGATGCCAGGGGCCCCTCAGCCGGACAGTCCGTCTTCTTGGAGGGAATACAGCCTGGAGGCCCCGTGCCCGCTCCCCAGGCAGCCCAAGGGCAGCAGCACCCACTGCCAGCCTGCAGTGCCGGCCGGTCTGTTTGCTCTGTCTTGAAAAATTCTTTTTTCTTGTGACTAGCACAGTCACACTGCTGTGTGGGTGTGAAAGGCGTTACTCTGCTCCGGAAAGCATCTGAGACACACTACAACTCTGGAGCCCTTTCTTTCTTACTGAGTTTTTAAATACCTGGGTGCTCCAGGAAATGAGGGCTTCTGCCTGGCCAGGTATGTGGGGTGCAGCCACCTGGGACGGAGCACTGCTGCTCCTGCCTCTGCCTGCAGGGGGCACCACGGCACAGGGCAACTGGGCTCTCTACAGGCTTCCATGCCAGCAGCGGTGACCCCAGCCAGGGGAGGAGCAAACTTGGGGGTGAGAAGTCCGTCCTCTGCAGAAGCTTCTAGAGGGTGGAGCTGGGCAGGCAGAAAGGGGGTCCTGAGCAATCATTCTCAGACTTGCACTTCCTTTACAAACAGAACCACAGAGATACTGGGGAAAAGAAAGCGGTGAACGGGGTTGGAGCAATAGCACAGCGGGTAGGACGTTTGCCTTGCATGCGGCCGACCCGGGTTTGATTCCCAGCAACCCATATAGTCCCCCAAGCACTTCCAGGAGTAATTCCTGAGTGCAAAGCCAGGAGTAAACCCTGTGCATTGCCGGGTGTGACCCAAAAAGAAAAAAACAGCGGTGAACGTAGGTGGGGACACGTCACCCATCACTGCCCCAGTGAGCCCCTCAGGCTTGAGGAAGGCAGCTGCCCTGGGCCCTTGGGCCTGGACTCCTGGCACTCCCAGGGAAGCTGCAGAGGGCAGGTGATAGAGCGGGGTGCCCTCCCCAGCCCTGGGTCCGGGCACTAGTCAGTGGGTTCTCTGCACGGGGCAGAACCTTGTGGACCACATCCCTGGGGTAGCTCTGAGAGAGGCTTGGGCCCTGTCCTCTGCTCAACTGCACTTTAGAAGACCCCAGCACGACATGTGGAGGAGGCCCCCTTGGTGCTCTTGTGAAACTGTCTCCACAGGGGCTCAGGGACTAGGATAGTCCCTGAGAGACTACCTGAGGAAAGTCGTTGGGGACGGAGGGTTGAGAGCTCAGGCCAAATGGGGCCGGATAGTACAGCGGGTAGGGCGCTTGCCTTGTACACGGCTAACCTGGGTTCGATTCCCAGCATCCCATATGGTCCCCTGAGCACCACCAGCAGTAATTCCTAAGTGCAGAACCAGGAGTAACCCGTGAGCATCACTGGTGTGGCCCAAAAACAAAAACAAAAATCACGTTCTTAAAGAAAGATAGATTTGTCACCCAGAAGTCAGATACTCCGTGTGTCCAGGCCCAGCACAGACCCCTCCTGCACCACCCTCCCCTCTGACTCCCGGGGGCCCCTCTGGGCACCACCACCACACTCGAAACACACCCAGCTCCCACCCCCAGGATTGACCGACTGGACATCAGGACACAGAGGCCCCCCTACCCCTGGGATTCACAGGCAGGTCTTCAGTGGGGCTGTGGCTTCCGCCACACCCTGTCGGCTGTTTTCCTACCACATTGTACTGTCAGACGCCCTCCAATTGTGCTTCAGAATTCTAACATGCCCCCGATGCATTGTGGCTTTCCTGTTTGAGGGCACAGATTGTTCCCAATGTTGTTCACTCCTACAGCGGATATCCTAGGAGATAAATGTGTGTGTTTTTAAAATGTGCCCAATTCTGATGATTTCCCAGGGACACATCCCCCTGGGAGAGGGGAGTACATTGTTGGAGGGTTTGAGGTGGTTTTTGCCAGGGTTTGATTTGTGTGTGGGGGGGGGGGGCAAGGAGTAGTGCACCCCCCCCGCCCAGATGTGGGCCTCTTGCACTTTCACCAGGCACCTCTAATATTGCTCAAGACAGGAAGTTCTACCGGCGGGGGCGGCTGGGACCAAAGGTTAATGCGGATTTTGCATATAGGGAGCCTAGAACCCACCAAAGGGAGAGGCCACCTGGTCTTCCCCAGGAAGGCAGCTCTGTCATGCTCTCTCGTCACTCAGGAGGCCTCCCCTGGGCACGGCTCGTGCCCTTCAGACCTGGCACTGAGACTGGTATAAGGGGCCCAGCAGCCGCCCACCCGCCTCCAGCAGGGCCCCCGCACCCCGGCTCATGGCAGTTGGAAATGAGCACACCCTCCCCAGTGCCAGGGAACAGCACAGATAGGTCCTGGCCTCCCCACGCCTCCAAACATGCAAAGGCTCAGTCTGGGGTTGGAGTTGGGGGTAAGTGAGGAAGGAGAGTGGGCGAGGGGTACTAGAGCACTTGTCTCGCAAGCCTCAGGCTGGGAGTTCGATTCCCAGAGCCACCTGCCTGTGCCACATTCACTCCAGGCAGTTCTGCTGTCTGGGAGCTGCCGCCACGTGGGGGTGAGACCCACCACTAAAGGGATACAAGCACTCCCATGTGTGAGCACCAGGGCCGGGAAGGGCGGCCTCTTGTCGACCATGTGTGTGAGCACCTCAGCCAAGGGGGGGTGTCAGATGCATACAACACCTGCACGCACTCTCCCACCACGAGCACCGGGACCAAGTGTGCGACAAAACCACACACAGGAGGTGGATGTGACCCCTGGTCATCACCACAAGGAAGGAAGGGGGACGATGAGAGTAACAATGATGATCATAGACCCATGCCAGCCTGCAGCTGTCCCTGACATGGCCAGATGGAACAAGACACCCAAAGCAGATACACACCGCCCTCTGCAGAGGACCCACTTCCCCACTGCCAGGCAAGCACAGGGTCCGGGAATCTGCCGAGCAGGAGAGCTCCATTCTCCTCCTGGGCACCCCCTACCTCCCCGGGGCCAGCAGCTTCTTGCCTTAGATCCTGGCCGCTTCCAGTCAGGGATTCTCCCATGCGTTCAGCTGCCCAGAGCAAACGGGGGTCTGGTATGAGCTGGGGAGCCTGAGTCTGGGTCTTACCCCACAGGGAGGAGAAGGGTGGGAAAGAGGCAGGTGGGATGGAAGGGCTGAGGACGTGGAGGGGTCCAGGAGGGGGCTCTGGGTGCAAAAGGAAACCAGAGTCACCAGCCAGTGCTGGGCATCTGCTCCAGGCCCCCATGTGCCAAGACAGGGCGCCCCGGCATCCTGCCACGCGGGGGCTGTGTCTGAGCAGCGGGCCAGAGTGGAGAAAGCTGGGGCTGGAGCTGTAGTACAGCGGGTACAGTGCTTGTCTTGCACACGACCTACCTGGGTTCAAATCCCCGGTGCCCCATTGGGTCCCCTGAGCCCTGCCTGGAGTAATCCCTGAGTACGCAGCCAGTCATAAACCCAGAAAACACCAAAAAAGGAAAAAATAATGGCTAAGCAGCTGCCGCAGATCCATGTGCAAGCCCCGGCCAGGGGGCAGGATCCCGCCTCAGCCTGCCCTGAGCTGTTTGGTCTGATTTCCAACCTTGGCAGCAGACACGGAAGGCAGACAGGAGGGAAAGAGGGCGGTAGACAGGAGGTACAAGAAATGGGCGGAAAAGCCCACCCTGTACCGCTCCCCCATCCCCCGGCATGTGCCAGGACCAGGGTTCCAGCAGAGGGGCCCCTTCTCCAGGGAGCCGTGTGGGGCCAGAACAGATGCTTCATGCTGGTGGTGCCCGTTGAGCTGAAGCAGCAGTCCCCATCTCCGCCTCTCAGACAGGAGCCCTTCATCCAGACTAGCTCTGGGAGCCCGGGGCAGCCCCCAAGGCCCAGCTGCACAGGGTCGGGGGGGCCGGGGCAGATCAGTGCAGGAGGCGGACAGCAGGGGTGAAGCCAGAAGAGTCACGGGGCTGGAGCCAGTGTCCAGCAGGTGAGGCATCTGCCTTGAACACGGCCAACCTAACTTCGGTCCCCAGCACCGCAGATGGTTCCCCAAGCCCAACCAGGAGGGAGCCCTGAGTGCAGAGCCAGGAGTAAGACCTGAGCACCGCCAGGTGTGACCCCCCCAAAGCAAACAAACAAACAAACCGCGACCAAGACGGGATAGTACCTGCTCCGAGTCAATCCTCCCTGCAGCTCCGATGCCTGCCGCGGCCGAGGGCCTCCAGCCGGTGTTACTATTCCAGGGAGCCCTTAGCAACAGGCCTGACATCTGCTCTGTTACTATGAGACGGGAAACATGATAATAGTGGCAAGATAAGGTGAGCCCAGACACCAACATTTCCTCCACCTGTCACGCAGTGCCGGGGCAGGAGTGGTCCCGGCAGGCATCTCCCAGCCTGCTGCTGGGGAAGCCCCTCACCCCCGACCGCCCCCTGAGTGTGGGATGTGTGGAGCATCTCACCCCAGACTCCCTTGTGAGCTGAGGTGAGAGCCATGGGGAGTGAGCTATCCACAGGGTCGCTCCCTTGGGGGACCTCTTGCCCCTGTTGGTCAGACTATAGCAAGACATGCCTGACAGTCACTGGCCTTCCTGGGACCCTCCTTGTGTCCCTCACTCTCAGCCAACATCAGATCAGATGGTTCCTTTGTTCACGAACCATCTTCTGTGGCTGTGTGCTGCCAAAAGGCATAGAGCCCGTCCATCACCTGGCCCCAACTGTCCCTCCAGCCTCCTCACAGCTCACGCACCCCTCCCTGAACATATGCTGGTTGCCAGGAGTCTGGATGTGGCCTCGTCTCCCAGATTTTGATGGGGGAGGAGGTGTCCTTTCGGTCCCTGCTGGGCTTTCTCTCCATCCCCCCCAATCTTAACAACTCCCCTGAGGAGAGAGTCCACTGACAGGATGCCCACACAGGGTGAGTGGCCTGCACTCCCTCGTGGTCCTCCCACTAACCTTCACAGTCTTACTGCCCACCTGGGATACCGTGGCGTCACGGTCTGGGGTGGGGGTGAGGGCTCCTGCCTCTGGCGTTTGGGAAGTGGGGCCCTGTGTGGGATTCAGTGTCGGGTCCACCTCCCCTGTCCTGCTCGGACCTGCTCAGCCAAGTGATTCATCAACTCAGCCCCGGAAGGCCAGGGTGGGAGTGGGGACACAATGCCACAGTCAAAATCAAAAATTGCTAGTGAGGGCTGGAGTGACAGCACAGCAGGTAGGGCGTTTGCCTCGCACGCGGCTCACTGGGGTACAATTCCCAGCATCCCATAATGGTCCCCTGAGCACCACCAGGAGTAATTCCTGAGTGCAGAGACAGGACCCCTGTGTATCACCGGGTGTGACCCAAAAAAGAAAAAAAAAGGCAAGTGATCTGGAAGAAGGTTGTGATGAGGCGAGGTGCCTGAAGCAGAAGCACAGGCTGGCACAGGCCATGGGCAATGCCAACAGCATAAGAGGGCAGGAGGGCAGGACGGCTACAGCTTACAGGCACCTTGTCTGCAGGCTGGTGGGTGGGCGGGTTGGTGGGCAACTCAGATGCCCCTTGCTGTGCCATAGCTCCCTCTACAGGGGGTCCTCCCCACCCTGCAGCCTGTCTGCTCTGTGCTCCAGTGCCTGTTCCAGGAAACATCCCCCCAAATCACAAACCCAGGCCCCACCATGGCCAGAGCATGGATGAGCACCACACTGTGGCGGACCGGGCTTCAGTGGGGCTCCTCTTTGTTCCCAGAAGACCCAACTGGGCCCTGCAGACCACTTGCTGCCCAGGCCAAGCACCCACAGTCTACGAGTGGCCTGCAGGACCAGTGCAGTGACCCCATCCACCCGTCTCTGTTACAACTGGGTTGAGAAGCTCCTGAAGGAAAATGAAGGGTGGACACACCCACGGCTCCTCTGCCCCAGCCCCCTCTGTCTGGTGTGCGCCTCAAGCCCCCAGAGAACTGCACAGAGTGGGTGAGGCATGGCACAGTGAGCAGCTGGTTCGGGCCGCCGGGGGTTGGCAGGGGTGTGGGTCCACACACGGGCAGGATGGAGCCAGGCCCAGCATTTCAGTGGATCACATAGGACAGCTGCCTCAGAAAATGGCTCTAGGCTTGGAAACACTTCTGGAGGGGTTGGAGGGGTGGGTCAAAGGGCTGGAGGATGTGCTTTGCCTACAGGAGGGCCGGGTTTGATGCCATCACTGCATGGTCACCTGAGTGCCAGAGTGACCCCCAAGCACTGTGCTGAAAGTAGCCTCTGAGCATCACAGGGTGTGGCCCCCAAAGGAAGGAAAACAAAAAATCTTACCTCCCCACAAAAATACAGCTCTGGCCGGGATCTCAGCAACCGCCATGCCCGCCCCCACCATCTCTGCAGCTCCACACAGAGCCTCAGCCCTCTGCTGGCCCACTCACTGCCCAGGTGAGGTGGGCCTCCTGGCCAGTATGTCCCTTCTCCTTTCACCTGGGCTCTGGAGCCTCCTTATCTGCTCTCTGCCATCTCTGCAGGCTCATGTCCAGATGCCAGGCCTGCTGCGTACGCACTCATTCCTTGCCCCACATCAATACCCCAAGCAATACCCATAACATCTCCCTGCACACGCATCTCTATCTCCTGTCACTGGGTGAGGACCAGTAGGGAAGGGAGGGAGCAGCACTCAGTTTGAGTCTTCAGGGCTCCCCAGAGGGAAGGAACTACCAGAACTCACTCTCGGTGCACAACAGACACTATGCCGGACCCCTAAGGAGCCGTAAGTTCAATGGGAGAAGGTAACAGCACAAAGGCTCTGCCAGCATCCCCCAGCTGGGCAACCTCAGAGAGTGGCCGCAGAGTTGCCACAAGGGGATTCATGAGCTCCAAGGAGTGATGGTACAGGCAGTCAGGGAAGCACTAGCAAGGATGAGAGCAGAGATGGGAAACTCTAATCAGAAGGGAAAGAACCAGAAAAACAACTCAACGGAAGCCCTCAGCAACAGTGTAACAGGAGCTGAGGGAAAAGCAGGAGAGCTCCAAGATGAGATAGAGGGGGTCTCTAGAAAATCACTGCCACTGTCTGTCCTCCTGTTGTTCATCAATTTGCTCGAGCAGGCCCAGTAACGTCTCCATTATGACAATTGTTATTGTGTTTGGCATATCGAATACATCATGGGTAGCTTGCTAGGCTTTGCCATGCGGGCAAGATACTCTTGGTAGCTTGCCAGGCTCTCCGAAAGGGGCGGAGGAATTGAACTCAGGTCGGCCATATTGGCCGCTTGTAAGGCAAACGCCCTACCCACTGTGCTATCACTCCAGTCCTCTAGAAAATAATAGAAAAGAGTCTCAAAAGAAATGAACAGCACAATAGAGAACTACGGGAAGTGCTCAAGAGGAACAATATACAAATCACTGGAAGCTCTGAGGAACAAGGCCGTGATTTCAACAAAGAACCGCTTGTCAAAGAAGCAATTCATAAAAATTTCTCAGAGGAGGGGACAGATAGTACAGTGGGTAAGGTTCTTGCCTTGCAAGTAGTGGGCCTGGGTTCAATCCTTGGCACCCTATATGGTCCCCTGGCTCCACCAGGAGTGATCCCTGAGCACAGAGCCAGGAGTAAGCCCTGAACACAGTGGTATGGCAAAAAAAAAAAAAACTAAATAAAACCACACATTTTAATGACAATGACAAAAGTCAAAGACAGAGATAGATGATGAAAGTAGCAAGATCCAAGAAGGAACTTGTATTCAAAAGAAGTCCCGTAAGATTCACAGCAGATCTATCAAATGAAACTCTACAGGACTGAAAAGAAGGGAGGGAATATAGAAAAATTACATAAGCAAAATTCAATAGAATGAGCTTCTCACCAAGAGTACTTGATTCAGCTAGATTATCGCTCATAGTTAAAGAAATGATAATTCATGGGCAAGCAACAGCTTAGGCAGTTCACAGTCTTGAAAATCAGTTTTGCAGGGAAGAATAAAGGAGATTCTTCAAAAAACAAGACAAATTTCTCAACACTTTGCCACTGAGTACAGCATTCACTCATGCTTGCCCTCTGCAACATCAAATAATGTCCATTATTCCTAGCTTGCTAAGATTTTTACACTTAATAAATAATGAATTAGGTTTCGTTTACTTTGAATTTTCTTTCTATGTCTATTCAGGTGATTTTTTAACATCTAGCCTTTTCTCCCCCTTTTACTTATTAATGCAGATACTTACGCATCATCTATAATATATTTTTTAACATTAAATCAACAATACCTTTGAATGTTATAATGTACTTTTATATTTTATAGGCCTATTCAGATTCTCCTTTAAATTTTTTAAATTCTCCTCACTTTTGCTAATTGTGTATTTGTAGGATTTATCTACTTCGTGTAAATTTAAAAATGTATTAGCATAGAATTATTCATACAATGAATTTTTTAACTTGTATATCTATAAAAAAATGATGCAGCTTCTGGAAAAAAACATCAACTTATACTGATTTACAATTTTGTAGAACTTCAGAAGTTTAGTTGTCATCACCCCCCCAATCAAAAACAAAAAAGATCTCTCTCTTATGTCATGAAACATAGTAAAGGAACAACAAACGTCCAAGACATCGGAACTAGAGACTTCGTCTACAGAACTGAGCTTACTGGAGGTTTGGGGGAGCATATCCCTGGGTCCCTGGTGGGTACTCACTCCAGTGTTGGAATGCTTTAGGCAGGAAACTACCACAAACAGTACTGTAAATCACAGTATCTCAACAAAAATCAGGTGACAACCAAAGCCCACAAAAAAATGCATTCTCAGGGCTGGAGTGATAGCACAGTGGTAGGGCATTTGCCTTGCACACAGCCGACCAGGGTTCGATTCCTCCGCCCCTCTCGGAGAGCCCAGCAACTACCAAGAGTATCCCGCCCGCATGGCAGGGCCTGGCAAGCTCCCCGTGATGTATTCAATATGCCAAAAACAGTAACAACAAGTCTCATAATTTGTTGTGAGACGTTACTGGTGCCCACTTGAGTAAATCGATGAACAACGGGAAAACAGTGCTACCTGACAGTGAGTACCCAGGACACACCAAGGTCAGACTATCAGTACCCAAGCCTCAGTCATCAATAGATTCACAGAGAGTAGCAGAAACCCCAGAATATTTGTGCAAGCTCATCACTGCTTTTAAATCACATCATCTGTGAGCAAGAAATAGTCCAGGGTTATGGCACGTGCCTTACATGCAGCTGGCCCCGCTCGGTCCCTAGCACCACATGGTCCCTTGAACATCACCAGGTCCTGGAGGTTCCCAAGCCGGCTGCAGTG